AATAATACGAAATATCGATTATCTTGTCTTTGTTTGATGTTTTTTTTTTGTCTTTTTTTTTTTTTGTTTTTTTGTTTTTTTGTTTTGTTTTTGTTTCATTATATTATTGAAACAAAACTCTAGTCAAAGCCGACACTTGAAAAATTTCCATTATTCATCGCTTCTCGATTATTCGTAAGCTCGTATATTTTTGCATTTGAGTGCCTATTTACAGACTTATACACATATACTTATTTGGAAATGCGAACCTTCCCTTTTGCTTTTTTTCCCGACGCACAACTTCACCGAGAGCGAACGAACGAATGCGCACGCACGTGCTCTTGCTACAATACCGTTAACCATTGTCGATAAGGTATCTGAAGGGGATCGACATTTATAAGAAGAAATCACTGCCATGAGATTATTTTCTTCGTCACTACTCTCACCAATCGATCCGAATGAAAAAACAATGAAAATAATTATAGCGACAGATGTAATAGAGAAAAATAGAAGAGAGGGCAAGATTTAGGTATATCGGTCGAGTTGCAGTTGCGTTCTCCTTTCAAAATTCATGCTTTATTGTGTGTGTGTGTGTGCGCGCGCGCGCACACACACACACACGTTCTATGTTCTTATAGATATTTAAGGTTTGCTGAGAAGATCGAAAGCTCACGCGGACCATTAGTGGCCAGTGTCGAGCTGTCGACGACATGCCCAAGAGAATTTGAGCAATTTCACGTTACGATAAATACGATATACGATTAACATTATTCCAGAACATTACATTTTATATACACATTGCGCTTTGATATATGATATATGCAGAAAGTAAAAATGTAGTAAGAGTAAAAGCTGCTTCTTTTTTATTTATGGCACATTACATTGCCAATTGCCTGCCCAAACGTTTATAAGACTAAATTAAATATCACTTCGTAATGATAAACTTTTCTCTTTATTATTTCTTCAGCATTATCCCGCTAGTGAATAAAGTTTTGTAGAAAAAGCACTAGCCAGCCGTATTACTGTGCAGATAGTTTTTCAAAGAAAAATCAAGCTAATGAGAATCTCTTACTCTTTGATAGTCTGTTGGGTGGCTCAATACGAATTCTATTGAAAGAGGAGCTAAGCCTTACACAGAAAGAATTTAAATTTTCCACGGAAATACTTATTCCGGCAGTTAAAGAAAGGCAAAATAGTTGTAGAGACAACATACGTGCTGCGGAAATCACACTCCCCCTCAAAATCCTAAAAATCCTAAAAATCCTCAAAATCCTCAAAAACCTCAAAATCCTAAGAATCCTCAAAATCCTCAAAATCCTCAAAATCCTAAAAATCATCGGTAAAAGGATGCTCGGGAGGGCAAAGTGAACGTCGAGGAGTCGAAGCAAAAGCGGCCGCGTGCCCGTTAGAGGGAACACGAGAGAGCGAGAATCACCGGCAGCCAGAGGAACCGGAGCCTGAAAATGAAAAACGCGCCCTCGTTCGTGCAAAGCCTCGCCTGCTCAGCGCACAGCCAACAGTCGTCGGATAAAGTCGGCCGCGCGCTAAACATCCCGGTCGCAAGGTCAAGGCGCCCGTAGACTCCCCGAGACACGGAGGTGCGCATATCAAGGGGCCTACCGGGGCACGGCAGCCCGGACGCTTACGTGCGCCCGTCGCCGCGTCCGTGCAGCCGCGGGAAACGTGGAGGCACGCGCTACAAGAGCTACTAGGCTCGCATCGCACTCTTATACTCTGCGATTGGCGCAATTGGCAATTCGCTGGAAACTGTCCACGCCGAGCCCTACTCGCGGAATGCTGATGCTACGTCCCCGTCGCTGATTCGCACGCTGATGAGCACCGCACCGCCGAGTCTACCTCCTCCTCCTCCACCTTCTCATCCTACTCCCCACCCCACCGCCGACCCACCCACCCTCACGCCCATCATCGCGCTCCTCTCTCTACCTCTCTCTCTACCTCTCTCTCTACCTCTCTCTCTACCTCTCTCTCTACCTCTCTCTCTACCTCTCTCTCTACCTCTCTCTCTACCTCTCTCTCTACCTCTCTCTCTACCTCTCTCTCTACCTCTCTCTCTACCTCTCTCTCTACCTCTCTCTCTACCTCTCTCTCTACCTCTCTCTCTACCTCTCTCTCTACCTCTCTCTCTACCTCTCTCTCTACCTCTCTCTCTACCTCTACCTCACTCACTCGCTCCTTCTTTCAAGCTTTTACGAGGATCGTTTGTCCCAAATTTTGACCACCCAGTCGCTCGCCACCAATGTCTCGCTGGAAGGAGGAAGGTCGGCTGATGAAGGTGCGACCGGAATCGCCAAAAGAACGCTTCCCCGAAAATTTGGCTATCTATTGAACAGGATTGTCGATTGAAAAAGCCTTTTATAAAATTATTCTTCATCCTCGATATCGAGACGCTTCGTTCCCCCCGCAAATTACAGCCATTAGGGCTATTCCAATGCATTTACCATAAATTTTCAAAGCTTCCAATCAAATAACACAATAATACTGGAGTAATATCATCTTACTTAAAACATTGTTTAAAAATTAATTTTACAATATTGACTGCATTTTGACGAGCTTAACGAGCAAGTGATTAAATTATCATTATTGATTCTCAATATTTATTAAAACGATACTTCAAAATTTGGATAGAAAAATTTGACGATCACCATTGAAATATTATTATATTATATACATAAAACTATATCTTATGAAGTATTCACAGCGTGAAGTTGTAACGATTCCTTATTACAATAATAATAATACTGTCGGTATGTATTGATAAAACGATGTATTTGATAAAAAGTTTCAGAAAAAAATTTAATTTTGAAATATCATAACAACAGTGATGTAACAGGTAATATAATGGAAAATATTAATGTAATCGAATCGGTGATCTCGTAGTCGTAGACGACGTTTTGGCTTTCACATGAATTTCGGAATAATAAATGGAATTCGAGTTTCACTTTTGGAAGATTCTTGTTTCTTTGTAAGAACAAGATAAAATAAAATAGCGCAGGGCTTCCTCGATCGATCCACTTCTATAAAATCCCATTCCACTTAATATGTGCTCATATCTTTCGAAAGAATTTTGATTTAACCAAGTTTTTTTTCTCTTTTATTTTTTCATTTTACTGTTGTTATTGTTGTTGCTGCTGCTGCTGTTGTTGTTGATGTTGTTGTTGTTGTTTTATTCTAATAAAATTACTTTTTAACACGAAACTTTAACGTTTATATATTTAATTTTACTATTGTTATTGTTGTTGCTGCTGCTGTTGTTATTGTTGTTGTTGCTGCTGTTGTTGTTGTTGTTGTTTTATTCTAATAAAATTACTTTTTAACACGAAACGTTAACGTTTATTTATTAACATTAAATTTTTATGAGACTTTTTACGTTGCGACACCCTTTACTGGCTGAATTTTATTACATAGATTAATTAAAACATTTTTCATAGAATTTGTCGGTTCGACTGTGAATTTCCTCGATAATATCAACATTCGTTTTATCACGTTTAATTACATTTCCTACAAATCGTACTGAGGCTTTCTTTCCCGAAAAGTATATTATGTTCTCTTTGTAAATTGTAAAGCCGCTATCGTGTAATTCATTTGATCATGGTCTAATTAAATCATTTTTCTAATTGAAAGTTCGCTTTACATTCAGCTAAGGATAATGAAATCATCGAATGAGGGAATGAAGATGCTTGCACGGCGCACAAAAGCTATAGAAGCACGGATAGTAAAGAGTACCGTAACGTAAAAGGAGAATGCTGCGTTGTTTAAAGAAAGCTCCCATTATAATCTATTAACAGGAGAAAGTTAAAAAGAACCATTTATCTCGATGGCGTCTAACAATATCGCTCGCCCTAGTCATTACATTTTCTTTTACTATAGATGTAAAATGAAGGGAGAGGGTACCTCACGTTTCATTTGTGTCTATAACAATCAAGCTCTAGTGACTGCTGTGGGAGACATTTCAATTTTGAAAAAATCACGAAAATGTCCAGTCTCCTAGCTCCTAGCTCATTCGATCCTTCCTCTTTTCTTCTCTCAAGAGCCCAAGGGGTGGATACATAGAGTACGAACATTGCTTTGTGCTTGCACTGCGTACGTGCATAAGGGCAGTGTACTGAAAACGATCAAAATAGAACTCGGGGAGAAAGTAACAGCCATTTGAAAAGTAAACAATGGAGATTAGAAGAGAGGAGGAAAAATAAAGCAAAAAAGCGTGCGCGTACGCGTGCGTGCGTGCGTGCGTATGTACGTGAGAGAGAGAGAGAGAGAGAGAGAGAGAGAAAGCGGGGAATTCTAGGGAAACATTGCTGTGAACTACTGGAGAATCGAGGATATCATAGTATTGATAATGTATGTTACACGATGTATTGAAGTTAACACCATATGACGCTTTAAAAATAACTGACACCACCTCGCGCTCATAAACTTATAGCATTCAATACCCTTGAGTACTTTTACATGTACAAAAAGTATGAGCAAGACTACCTCTATAGAACAGATTGGAGCCCGTATATATCCTATTGTAATTACAAATATAAATAATCCCCAACATCTGTCATGGTACTATCATAATCAGTTCGTTATTATTATCATTATCATTATTATTATTATCATTATCATTATTATCATTATCATTATTATTATTATTATTATTATTACCTTTTATATTTATTTACTTATTTATTTGTTTATTTATTTATTATCACAATAACTTTTTGGAAGTATAGTTTCATAAAGTTTATCATTCGAAATACAAATTTAAGAATGTCACCGAGTCAATGGTTATTTTAAAATTTATAATATTACAAACTATCAAAAATTTCAAATGATTAAAACAAGACTGAAAACGTATATACTCGTTGATATTATATTGAAGTAGATTTAGTAAGATTATTTATTATAAGTCGATAATCCGTATATAATAAATATATAATTCTACCGTTATACAATCATTAAGTTATTAAGGTCTTATATGTTACTATTATGATGATTTAATTATTTTACAATTACAGCTCCAGTTTATGAATCTGACTCGACGCAGGTTGCAGAATATGATGCAGGTAGGTACTTTTAAGTATTACAAGTTATTAACATACAACTACAGACAATTGCATACATAGTCATCGTTACATTGCCGATCGATATTCGATATTCCCATAAATTGACATTCAATAAATTAATAAAAACGTAACTAATGCGCTAATGGAATTAAAAATAAATATATATATATATATATATATATATATATATATATATAAAATTAATAAACGCGTCTAATGCAATAAGTGGTATTTTCACGGAATTGGCACATAAGTAATTAAACGTCGACTGTTAAAACTTGGACTATTGCATATTGAATTATATTATCTTAAAATTGAGCCTACGATTATGAAAATCATACGACAATTTAACAAATTGACAATACTTAAATTCATGGGTAAATAAGACGATGAAGCAAAATGAAATAAACAAACGGCCCTCACTCCGTTTATTCGAGTCCTTCGAACCCATAAACTTAAAACGCCCTTTCTTAGCTTCAAGCGGCTGCTACTACAACTTCCAACGCTACCAAGAAGGCGCCCGGATCATCACGAACGAGCCTTGCTTGAATTGCACATGCCACAATCGAATGCTAATGTGCTATCTGAGGGTATGCCCCTTCACAAAGGCGATAGGTCAAGACTGCACGGTGGAAAAGCGTCCGGACCAATGCTGCCCCGTAATCACGTGCCCAGAAGTGCCAGTGCAGCTGTTGACCTCGACGACGACTTCGCCCTCCAAATCACCAACACCGTCCTCGCCCGACGCTCTGCTTTCATTCGAACTCGGCTTCCCCGACACATACGGCTGCAATGTCAACGACCGCTTCTTCGCCGACGGCGCCCAACTACCGATCGAAGCCAATAACCCCTGCGAGCTCTGTTACTGCATCAGAAATAAGACAACCTGTCTTATGCAGCAGTGCACTCTATCCGTTGCTGGATGCAGGCCAGTTTATCAGCCGGGAATCTGCTGTCCTGTCAAGTACAATTGCGGTGAGTCGGCACATTTCATAAGGCATACATAACCACCTGTGACCACCAGCGATCTCTTATCTTACCGATTCGTACTACTATTTCATCTCTATTATCATACGTAAACGTGCTATTAGCGTATTTGCGCCTACAAACTCGGCTATTCCGGACAATTATTTTTTTTCTTTTCTTTTTCTCTCTCTCTCTCTCTCTCTCTATTTCTCTTTTTTTCTTCTTTTTTTTTTTTTTTCATTTTTTTTTTCTTTTTTTTTTTTTTTTTCTCTTTTTTTTTCATCTTTTTTTTTTCATCTTTTTTTTATGGCTAATCGCGAAAGCGGCAATCTATTTACGTATTTACGATGCTCTCTCGTTAATTTCAATTCTCAACAATGTGCGTTTTACTCGAGAGTCGCACTCGCGTTCAGCCACTATAATCGACGTCCTTTTTGAGGCGCAACAAACCATAAATAATAAATGCTGCTTCCCTTACGCAATAGAGTACGACGAAGGATACGAAATTGCCGCCGGTACCACACCCGGTCTCATTATGACCACGACACTCGCACCACGTACAACACCCCCGCAATGTCACTACGATGATAAAGCATACGAAGACGGTGAACTTATCTACACCATACAGCCCTGTCAGCACTGCTATTGCTTCCACGGCGAGATTGTCTGTGCTGTTCAGGAATGTGGTAAGCCCATGGAATCCCATGGCAAAAATTGTACGGCCCTGCCACCGCTCGATGGAGAGTGCTGCCCAACCACGTATCAGTGCGGTGAGCATTCGATTTTTATCCGATTATAAAGATGTTTTGTTATCGTGTAAGAAATAGTATCTATCACCTTGGGGATGAATTTAATCAATACGGTACGATTAGTTCGTCTTTGTCGCAAATTCTATCGTTTTATATTATGGTGAATCGATGAATTACTCTACCTACGTGCATATGAAAAATTAATCATTTAATTGACAAAAATAATTTTATCAATAATAATTAATATTAATTATTTAATTGACGATTAAATCGATGATTAAGCGACATTTTATTAAATCACAGAATATTCGCACTGCTTAAATAGTTGAGCATTAATAAGTAAAGAATAATTTACGCTCGTAAATTTTAAGAAAGGTAAAATTAAAATTTGAGCACATGCCGTTTAGAAATAGTAATATTAATTTCATGAACTAATCGGTTTAATTAAATTTATTACAATGCTCATTCTTTGAGTATAAATAAAGGTGTTCATAAACAAATCGTAATTACATTTGCAGAAGATGGATTTGCAAATTTAGCAACAGAAATTTCTGACGATGGTGACAGGAAAAATATTCCAGAACAATCTACTGACCATGAGGAGCATAGACAGCAAGAATCGTTCCCAGGAGCGGATAATACGATTCCTGAACAAATAGTAGCCAATCGCATACCTACAACCGATAAAGCATTAATCGTAACACCTTTAGGTAATGAGGTTCCTGAATTGGGAATTCAAGAGCCTGTAAAATTGTCTTCCAATGAAGCTACGATTGAAGAAGAAAGGTATACGACTTTGATATATGAAAATTCTCAATTAGCAAAAGAATCGGAGGGAGAGCCGGAAACGACAGTCATTAAAGCCAATGATAATAATACAATGACGGCACTTGATATAAATGACGATTCATTGAAAATGTCAACGGGCAGTATAAACGAAATATCGCAAACAGAAATTCCTGCAACTACTCACGGAGGTGTAACATTCGAATTTCCTTCAAGAATTACCGAAGTCAGTACTGCAGAAAGTGAAAAAGAGGAGAAACCAATAACGGAATCGAGTATTTCAACGGGATTACCGGCAGAATCAAAAATATCCCAAGCCAATGGAGAAATTACTACAATAATCAATTTGGAAAAAGGAATAGACGCATTAATTGATAGTGAATTAACCGATGCTTACACGACGGAACAGCAAACGGAAGAATTAGATAAATCATCCACAAAATCTTCCATAATTGATGACGAACTTGTAAAATCAAGCCAATCCGAGATCAATACCACTGAGAGAGAATTATCAGAAGACGCAACAACATCGATAACAAATGAACCAATAGAGAAATCTAGTGAATCATCTAGTCCAATTAGTGAAATAACAACGACAGAGCAAAGCAGTAGTAATAAAATATCAGACTCTCTACTTTATACTTCTGATAAGGATTCCGATAAGCCAGTGGATAGCACGGATGGGCAATATTATACTACTGAACGTGATAACAATATAGTTGAGTATTCGACGGTAAAAATTGAGGATAAATTAGGCGAAGAACATATGACTTCGGTTAATTACGAAATACCAATAACTAGTTCCGAAGAATACAAGAAGGTTGAAAAAGTTAGTACACCATCTGTTTTTGAAGATCCATTAATAAATAGCGATGATGAAGTGTCCGAGAAAATAAATGCACCGATTGATGCTGAATCAGCGACAGAATTAAGTGTCGATCATGATGAAAGGACAGAGGATATTTATGTAACTAAAGTCATTGAAACGTCAACTGTAATACATTCTAACGAACATATAGATAAAGAAAAAAATATCTCGTCCGACAGTTTTGAAACGTCGACTATAGACACTTCGATTTATAAAAATGAAATGGAACAACCTAATGGGTTTACGAGCATTGAATTTGTAACAGCATCGAGTACGGATGAAATTAAAGGAATAGAAAATGTAGTGACAGTAACAAAAACTGATACACCAGCATTGGCTAATGTTGATGAGACTAATGATAATACAGCAATTAATTCATCCACGGATTTTGATAAATCAACTGATAACGATTATGATAAGCAAACGGAAAAAACTAATTTCCCATTAAGCACAGAAATACCATTCACCGATAGTTTTCACAATAATAATAATAATAACGAAGAAGTAAGCAATGAGGCGATAAATCCTGTATATACCATCACTGAAGAAAGCACGCTTGCCCCAATAAACTCTTCACTTACCGATAACACTTTTGAAAAAACTAATAACGAAGAAATATCAGCCGAATTCAGCACTGCGGTTCAAGATCATGAAAAACTGCCGCTCGAAGGTAATACAGAAGCAATAGAAATACCGGAACAAGAATCTACTGAAATTTTAATGCCAGAACGAGGTCCTGAACATAAAGCAGAGGATAACGACGCTGTGACGGATAGTGAAGCAACAGAAGGAAACTTCGTTAATGAAAGTGAACTTCCTGACAGCTTAAATAATACCGATAATAAGCAAACCGATCGTCCGGAATATGTATCAACGACTTATTTACCCCCGCATGACTTAAGTACTGACACAAGTCAGCAGCCGTCTACGTCACTACACGAAGCTTATCCAATAGAAGATTCTGAAATAGAAAGTTATATTACGGAAATTTCTATTCCATCTAAAGCGTCTTCTGAAAGTACGACAATGCTATCTATCGACGGAATATCAGAATATAATAAACCAGATGAAAATATAGAACCTATCGAGCCAAATCTGCATATGATAGAGAACGAGCGAACAAGTAATGCAGAAAGTACTTCGGAAACAATACCAATTGATGAAATCAGCACTAAACAAACAAGTACGACTAATTCGTCTGTAGAAGAATATATAATTCATGCTGACGATGTGAGTACGGAGCAGTCATTGACGGACAAAGAAATCATAGAAAAGTTAACTGTCAAGCCATCATTGGAGGCTAGTAATACACAATCGCCGATATTAATTGATCATCAGAAAGATACATCCGAGGTGCATGAAGAACTTGACGATAATTCACAAGTTAATACGATGGATAACGAAAATATACGTTCAACCGAAATGACGATAGATTCAACCTTCAAAGATGAACATACCGAAACATTACCAATTAATTTACAGAATATTAATGAACATAAGCCTGAATTGGAAGAAGATATATCTCCATTATCAAAGGAAAATGAGTTAATCACTGAAGTTTCAGATATCCAAGAGAGTAGCGAACCGAGTCCAAATGAAAATTCTATACCCGAGTTAATAAAGAATCCAATTGATAAAGAAGAATCTACAATAATCGATACTTTAGGAGCAAATAATAAATCATCCGAACCTATGAGCGAAGATCACATTATCGATGAATTGAACGCAGTTACACAATCAATTTTATCCGAGGCTTCGTTGGATACAAGTGATTTCAATATATCAAAGGAAGTGCTGGAAGAAAGTTTGGGAAATACCGAGACTAGTACAGTATCTATTGTCGAGGCATTAGGGTTGGATGAAATAACAGACAATGATAGCGCTGTTACTCAAAAATTCACTGATAAGGAAAGTGAATTGCCGTCGTCGTCCGAAGCATCGACGAATACCGAAGACGATCAATTCTCAACTACAAAAATAGATCCTGAAATATCTGTCAATAACGAAGAAGATAGAAAAGATATTACAATTACAGAGGATGATACTCCAACTGAAACGATCGAAGAACATAAATTTAATAATATAAACTCTCAATTACCTGGGGAGGAGCCGATGACTAGTGTACAAGAAGAATCTGTCACGGAAAATTTAGAGAAAGAATCATTAACGACAATAATATATAATACCGAACAATTTACTGAGAGACCCGAATCGCCGAATAATAAACCTAAAGATGAACATAAACTGGGACATTCGACAGAAGTAAATCCAATGACTAGTGAAATGCCTGAAATTGAAATTAAATTACCAGTATCGGCCGACATGCGGCCCGCTTCAGGTATTCCCGGAGAAGGTAATTGTTTGGTCGATGGACAATCTTATTATAATAATTCGGCTATTCCTCCAGCAAATGCTTGCCAATTAAGTTGTCGATGTGTGAGTAGCATTGTGCAGTGTGATCTTATTAAATGCTCTCCACCGCCAACAGACTTGCCTAACTGCGTACCTATGTACACAAATGCGGACTCGTGCTGTCCCATGTATACCTGTGATTCGACTTCCAGCGTTGAATTAGAGGCTGATAATCAAATGACTGATAATCATTTATCCACTTATGATGATAAGATGCAAACTAAAGCACCGGAAAATCCTTCGGTAGATGAGCATCATGTTTATTCAGAAATCACCACAAGTACAGAAAATACCAGGCCTATCGAACAATCAACTGAGTATTCTATTAAATTGCAGCCAGAAATCTTAGAATCAACCTCAATTGTCAATGAGTTGGATAAATCAACAGCTCCTCCATTTTTGGAGAAGCAGACAATTAGTTCTTCGATATTTATAGAAACTACTTCAATTGCGATCGATGAGTCAAGCGCACCGGCGGCAGATATCAGCGAAGAAACATCCCCAGGTTATGTTGGCGATAGAAATAAAGACACCGAAGAATATCAGCTCGGTGTATCCAATAAAGCTAACAATACCGAGGAAGATGCCATTTTCATAACTACAGAATTTAGTAGTGCAAAACCAGAAGATTCTAATGAAGAATATGATATTAATTTACCGCCGAAATTAGATTTTGAGCACGAGTCGCAAACCGAAATGAATAAACTCGAAGAGCCAATGAATTACGATGATTTACATAAAACAATTGCAGAAAATGTTGATTCGATAGTTAGAGAAATTACAATCGATAATACGCCCGAGACAGTACATTTAACAACACAGTCGAGTTTATTTACTGAATCGGAATCTAAGCATAAAGATTTGATCGAAACGACTGCGAAAAATGACATAACTGCAAACGACATACAAGAGCCAGCGTATGAAACAACTGCTCTTTCTATAGAATCCATTGATAAGGAAACATCAAAGGCTCCTGCGGATAGCGATGAATTATTCACTCCTCCCGCTGCTGAAACGAAGCCAACTTCGTTAGATACGCTTGAAAATATAACATTAGCGCCGGTAACAATACCGACTACAGAGGACCAACAAGTCGACAAACTGAATGATTCTGATTTAGAATACTACTCGCCAACATCTACAGAATCAAATTCAGTTGAAATCAATAAAATAGCCGTTGACTCGAGCACGGAACTTTCCATAACTGAGAAGGAATTTGCTGAATCGACTCCAATTTCATCGACCGAAAGTGTCACGAAATATGAGGAAATTGAATTAGAAAATTTACCTACAGTGTCACCGAACAACCAAACAATTTCATTATCCGTAAATTCAGAATCCACCGGACTAAATAAAGACATTGATACGTTAAACGGTCACGCAACCGAGATCGCGTCAAATGATTTATCATCCACTATTTCTCCAACAGCGGTCGATGATAATTCAACGGAAAAAAAATTGATTGCTCAAGTTGAGGAAAAACAAGTACCAACTACAGTCGTTAATAATAGCTCAGAGGAAGCCCTATTTGTAAAACTGGACACAAATTCAACGATAAATGAATCGGGCGAAGACGTTTTAACCGAAGAAAATGTCCCTATAACGGAAGATCCAAAATTAATTTTGCCGAATGTCGAAACAACTAAATTAACTACTGAAAATGAAGAATCATCCCCAGAATCGTCGACAATAATACAATTAAATATTGAAAATCTTGAGAATAATGAATTCACAGATGCCACGCAATTTGAAGAGACAGAAAATAAATTCCCGTTAGATAAAGATAAGATAGAGTCTGAAGAAGAAATAAGATTAGAAAGTACGACGGAAATTGTGGAGGAGCAAAAAGAAGAGCCAACAACGAGTCATAAGGAATTGAACGAAGAATTGGGAATATCGGGTCAAGAAATTATTACAGAGTCGGCAATAATTAATGATAATGAAACTGAATTTATAATTAGGCCAACCGAATCGTTAATCGAGCCTGAAAAACATATCACAACGTTGGATGATGAAAAAACTATTCAGACGGAGAGTGAAATAAAGACAACTGAGAAGAGCGAACAATTCGAACATTCTGAAATTGAAAAAGAATTAGCGGAAGGTATGACGACAGTTCAATCTGTATTATACCATGAACCAAGTACACCAGGATACGACGATCCTATCAATAAAGATGAAGAGGATATGCACAGTCCAGTAGAAACTACAACGGATAAATTGTTGTTTGTTAATAAAACGATCGATCAAAGCAACCTGGAAGTCACAACGATGATAAAGGACGATGAAGAAATATTTTCTCATGAAACGTCGACGATTAAATCGACGTATATTGAAAGTTATCAAGATAACGATGGCTTAGAGATCCTTACTGAAACACCGAACAAAGAACTTGGCGATGGATCAACGAGCGACGAAATTCCCGAACTTGACGAACAAAAGGGTAATTTCAGCCAAGTCACAATCTCAGAAGCTGCCACCACTGATTCAACACCTAGTCAAAGTAATAATGAAAATGAGCACAGCAGCATAGGATCGATTGTACCCGAGGGGCCGACCTCGACAATTGGCATACCTACTAGCGAAATCCAAACAACACTATCAAATGATCTTCGTGAACAAAGTACCAAGATCACAGTACCGGAGGAAGAATTAACAAACGTTCAACAAACATCCGAAGTGACAAATGCCGAAGATAATCAATATCACGACCACATTGTCGGCGGCCAACAAACGGAGGAGCCAATCGTATTAGCTACTCACGGTAATAGCGAAGAGCGACCGATCGAATCGCACTCGACAACATCCGAACCCGATATTAATAAACCTCACAAGCGTCCCGAGTTCCCGGATCAACAATCAACGGAAACAGACGATGAAAACGTTTTTCCCCCTGATTCCGCCGATATAAAAAATCCATTCAATACAGACGATCCTGAATCGGAAGATTATGACGATCAGGCAGTTTATGGTCCTGGCACATGCCGATACGGTGGAAAGATTTACATGTCGGCTCAGCAGATTCCTCGTGACGATGCTTGTGACTTTTGCTTCTGCTTCCGCAGTGACATAATATGCTTACAACAAAGTTGCCCGCCACCGATTCTCGGTTGTCGCGAAGAACCAATCGGTGGATTCTGCTGTCCAAGGTACGAGTGTCCGGTATCCATGGCAACATCTCTCAATCTGACGACAACAACCACGACCACAACGACAACATTACCACCTCATTTCTTGTCGCACGCGTACAAAGGGAGCGCATTCCGTGGAGGATGTCAAGTTGGTAACAAGGCGTACCGAGTTGGTGAAGATATAAAATCAAAATCCGGACCCTGTATGTCATGCATGTAAGTTGACTTTCTTGTTATCTTATTAGCGCCTTTTCTCCTCCTTTCTTATTTCCATTACAAATAAAGCCACCAATTTATCCTTAAAAATCGATATTTTAAACCTCATATTATTGATTTGTAGCTGCGGAGGAGATGGTAAAATGAAATGCGAACCGAAAGCTTGTTCCGCGAGCCCAATGCTGAAGGAGATGATAGCTCATGCCGCTGCCAAAAAAAGAAGATGAGCCATCGAATAGTAGTGGCTTAATTAAATAAAGAACTAAATTTGTCGACCGTGTGTTGTCGATGTTATAAATATAAATTAAAAATATGACAGATAACATGATGAGAGAAGTGCGTGCGTTGTGTAAAAAAAGAATGAGAGCGAAAGTATGGAATGAAAATGATGTGAGAGGATAGAAGAGTGGATAAAAGCAAATTAAAGCTTAATATAAATCGCCTTAGACAAAGACAATTGTAAAGAAGGTGATTTTGTACTGAGTGGCCAAAACTTAAGCGTTTATATATATATATATATATGTGTGTGTGTGTATATATATATATATATATATATATATATATATATATATATATATATTATATTGTTTTATACGTATATATAAATTTATACATAATTATTGCATATAAATAGAAGTTAGAAGTGAAAGTGAATTAGTGTTTGAATGTGAGCGTATGGTTTTGCAGTGCCAAAATACGAAGGCTAAATATAAACAGTGAAGAACGAAAATGTAAAGTATAGTTTAAGGAACAAAGAAAAAGATGGGAAATCTTGCGCTGTACCGAAATTTTTTTTTTTTTTTTTTTTTTTTTTTTTTTTCCTTTCATCGACAAGCACAACTATGCACGAATGAATATTATTAGCGATATGCAAGACTTCGAACTGTGCCTTCGTTTATAATGATTTTCGTCGATAAATTTTGGAAAATTAAATGATAACACGCTATAAGATCATCGGGCCAATTTTTTTTAAACAAACGACAAATATACGAAATGATTATTTATACGATAATGGAACAAGGCAGAGCAGCGTTGAATCTTATCGCCGCTTTCAGCAAGTTTTAATCGATACGATGTTTAGCTGTGCGTGTCCGGCGATGCATTTAAATTTAAAAGAAAAAAAAATAATAAAAACATAAAAAGAAAAAAAAAACCCTCGACGTCGGCATTTAAATGTTTTGCATTTACTACGATGTAAATAATACCTTCTTCTTTTTTCTTTTTTTTTTTCTTTTTTTTTATTTCTTTTTAACTGACGACACGAAGAAGCAGACTTTCACGAAAGAACATAGATGAACGATGAGAGCGAATCAAGACGATGCATTAAGAAAATACGAACGAAGTGAAATTTTTAAGAAAGCGCAATTTTTAAGCTCAAAAGGTTTTGCTCGCTCGGAGGACCAAAAGTAAAGAGACAATTACTCGCTTCTCCGGCGAGCTGATATTAGTAAGACATACTACTACTTAATCATTTACGTAGGCATATGTAAACGCATATATATATATATATATACGCAAATATAAATATAATATACATTTACATGATCCTCTATACTCTGTAATAATCACTTTAATCGCATTTAAATGCCGTAAATAACTCACTCTTTGTCTCTCGTTTTTCCTCTTTCTCACTATGTATGCCACTTTCTCTCCTCGTCTTCCACCGGCTCGCTATTTCCACTGGCTATTTAACAAAATCCTCTATTTTAATGCAAGAAGACGAATGAATAATAATAGCGTTATTAAGATTACATTATTTCGACTCTTCGGTCTCTGGTTCACACTTTAATTATCGAACTGCGAGACTCGAAGATGCGTAATATTTTCTTCTTCTCTTTTATTATATTAGACATAAAAGAACGAATAGGAGAGAATACGAAGATTGAAGCCCTGTCTTCTTAACGAGAGCAGCCCGTAGTAGTCCGCGCATTCGATAAATTATTCTTTTTTTTTTCCTTTAAAAAAAAGACAAAAAAAAAGAAAAAGAAAGAACGAATGAAAAAAGGAAGAAAAAAAAAGAAGAAGAAAAAAGAAAAGAAAAAGAATGAAAAGAAAAAGAATGAAAAGAAAAGAAAAGAAAAGAAAAGAGAGAGAGAGAGAGAGAGAGAGAGAGAGAGAGAGAGAGAGAAAGAAAAAAACCTTCTTTATTTTCCGAGCCGTTTGACCGGTAGAAGCTTTTATATTTAGTGATTAATGTAATTATTTAACTATTAGCTTAATGAAGTTCGTACACTTCTTTCACTTTTTTAGGGATAATTTAGCCTGACCCTTAAATTTTCGTACTAAAAAAGTTAACGAGTAAAAAAGCGTAATGAGCTTCTACTGCTTGGATGCTCGGATGGGCTATCGCTTGTATATTTTGCTCGTTTCAGCAAAACTTGAGCCTTTTATATGTGAGCGCCAAAGTCGACTCGCCGCGTCGCGTTATTGGTCTCGTTGAGATTGAGACGAGTGAGTTGAGCTTCTGTTAGTCCTTAGTTATTCTTATTATCTGTCTGTCTGTCTGTCTGTCTGTCTGTCTGTTTGTTTGTTTGTTTATTTCTTTTCTTTTTCTTTTTCTTCGCACTCTGAATTAGTGTAGTTACGATATTGCGGGGCGCGATATGCGAGCCGGCTTTGGGCCAATGTAAACGTCCCTTTAGCAATTAATCGTTTATAGTATTTATATCTTCTTTATACACCCAAACATAGCGATTTATAATACTAAAAATAACGTAAATGTATGGAATGTGTTAAAATAGTAACATATTTAATGATACACGGATATAAAGAGACACACTCACTCACACACACATATATATATATATATATATATATATATATATATATATATATATATATATAAAGAAAAGTTTGATAGTGTGAATTCGCATGAGATCGATGGGAAGATAATTTTGTTTTACATTGTTAAAAGCAGCACAATAAATATCTGCGTCGTAATATACATTACCGTCAGTTGGTCTCTTATTATTTTAATTTTACTCTATAATAGCCACTACTCAACCATGACCAATCTGTCTTTTATCAACGCGATTTTATTTAACGTAACACACACATCGCTACATATTATACGATATGTGATAGTCGAAAAAGAAAAATGAGCGCTTCGACTGCAACTTGGTTATCCCCATTGGTTATCCCCAATTGTGGAAACCTTAGGCTAGAATTAAAACAGTACGTTCTAGTATAAAGTGTCCTTTTTATATGAATAAATGATTTTGTATGTCGAAGATTTTTTTTTTCCTTTCTTTTTCTCAATCCTCGTGTATTCCATTCGCTTATATAATATAAACAATAATCTTCGTATGTAAATAGTTTTACGGTAAGTATCATTGGTAATTCGTATAAAAATTTCTTTTTGTCGCGTGCTATTCAACAACATTACTCATTTCTATGGATTTCTTTATTCAAACTCATTTTATACTTAAGCTCCACCCATTCGTTTATTAACTTCTAATATATTGAAAATTAATATTAATCATAAATAAAGAAATAGTTCGGTCCTACTAATCCGTTGTTCATACAAATTTCCTTCATACAAATACATACGACGTTTGATTAAATTTTTATACGAATTTATAAAATATATTTAAAATTACATTTTAACGTTTCTTTCTAATGCTTTATTATGACAAAAATGACAAATATCAAGATTTACTTTTATTTTACAAATAACTGTATTATGCATAAATAAGAATAATTATTACACAATATATATATATATATATATATATATATATATATATATATATATATATATATTGAAATCGGATCTAATGTAAATTTTTTATTATATTATGGAGAATAATGATATCGATTTACAAATTTATTTTCAATAAAATATTTTGATGCGCAATAATTTAAAAATATTATAATTAAGTATAATTGTATTAGCGACACAGTTATTATAACCAACAAATGCCTTAACAAAATTTTAATCAAATTTATCATCAATCAATCAAATTTATTATTACAGTTTTATGATTGTTAGTTGCAACATTGTTAATATCTATCTACGTACATCATTGATACAGTGAACAGACGTCAAATTTGCAATTTATTAAGAGATTTTAAATACGTCGTTCAATTTGATTGTTAAATATTAAAGTCAATGATTTTGCCAAATAAATAAAAAGAGAAACTTATTTAGTTGATATGAAAAAGAGCAAAAGAAAGATTAACGAGTAAGGCGTACCTAACTGCACTGCGATATTATCAATTATTGGCTATTTTTACCACAAGAGCAGATTACAAAATACAAGTAACATTTATATAATATGTAGCACAATTAAGTATCAATGTCGTTTGGATATAATGAGCGAAGCCTCTGTGATCGAATGTCATTGGGGTTTTGCAAGGAATGCTTTCATCGTATAAAATACTGCAATGAACGGAGTAATATTGTTAGGCTTTGTAACCGAGTATTCACAGAGAATTAGTAGAGAAAGAACAATAAATATATGTCAAAGTGATTATAAAAATTGAACGATATACAATGTAAACCGAAGCTAAAACGGTAATTATTTGTATATAGATGAAAACAAAAGAGAAAATAATTGAATTTTTTTTTTTTTTTTTTTTTTTTTTTTTTTTTTTTTTTCAGAAAGAAGAATCAGTTATCCTATTTAGTATTTATGTTACATTTAATGCTTAAAGTATGCAATTGTCCTAGGCACACTTGACAAGGTTTTATATATCGTTCAGATTACCAACAACAACAAATATAGTCTGTTTCAAACAATAGATTTAAAATATAAATCCATAAGATCAACAATATGAATTAATTATTACTATCGTTGTTAGTAAATTAAAATTAACTTTTATTAAAAGATATTTATAAATATAAAATTGTACAGTGATTAGATTCTCTTATTAAAAATGTACAATGTAATTTTCATTTAATTGAAAATTTTACAGTCGATTAAACTATATATTTTTTTTAAAATAAAATAAAAAAAAAAGACAATGAGAATAATTAACTTCTTGTGTTACTTTCTTTTTCTTTTAATAACAAAAATAATTTAATATATTAATTACCGAAAAGTTTTATAAAGAATTTATATATATATATATATATATTTTTTTTTTTTATTGATTTATAATAATTTGTCATTGAATAGAATCGTAATATACAAAATTATAATTAATACTGTAACATTGGATTTTAAAATGAAATAAAATCTTTGGTAATATATTTTTTTTAATTCAACAAAATTATTTGCCTGATTTTAAAAATACTGATAACATGGAGTCGAGGTATGAATAAAAAATAATGTATTTATTATTTATTTTTCATAATCTAACATTTATTATTTAAAGACAACTAATTTGAAACTCTTGACATCATTATTTACGAACTAACATTAGTTTAAATACATTATGTTTACTTATATATCGTGTATATTTTTCAATTTTCAATTACTTAATAATGCAACTTTATAATATAAAACAAATTACGTAACTTACTTGATACATTTTTAATTTTTTCGAGAAATATAATTCATTATAAGTTTATTCATCATAAGAAAAATTTCTACAAAAATAAATTCAAATAAATTTGTTATCAAAGTACATTTGATATGTGTTATTTTAAATTGTGAGAATTATTATAATACTAACTAGATTTCTTAATTTTAACCATTTTTTTAACTATTAATTTATAAATACTTGACAATCGAAATGTCAAGTTCAGTAAGAGCATGAATTATTGTATTGTATTGTACGTATATTTTAATTTTTTATTTCTTTTTATTACAAACTTCATTTGCACTAATTATGTATTTGTAAGTATAGTGTATTAATAAAATAGCATTATTTGTTTTCCTATAACAATATTTTATAATAATTTTCAATCGTACCGCAATCTTTCTTTGTATATGTATATATTTGATATATAAAGATATATATGATATATAAAGATATATATATATATATATATATATATATATATATAGGTGTAGTAAAATTTGTAATTTTAAGATGATTAAATTTTTTTGCAAATAAAAATAATTATCGTATTATTCTTATATGCCATAAAAAATATAGCCTATTATTGTCATGCATATTTTATGAATTACTATTTATTGAATAATTTATATCTTATATTATATCGTTTAATTTATTGCATACTATATTGAAACAAGTTCGTAAATGGTTAAGTTTCAATTCGTAATGTATGACAACAATAATTTTTTAATTTCATTTCACAACATCGTCAAAATATTCAATTATTATATTTAAAATGTGAAGAAAGAAAAAGTCCGGAAAATTTATAATAAAGGGAAATAATTATATACACTCTAAATGAATTACTATAATATTCAAATGAATATTTAATATACAATTAAAATAAATTACATCACAATAGCTACAGTACGTCATGAAATACGACCATGAACGTACAACAATTCCTAACAGGGGTACTGAGACGGTGTTAAAATTGGATTTTATAACTTTTTAAAAATTTTACATACAGTCATCCTTTGTACACAATTTTACAAACATCATAATGTAACAGAGCTCGCCAGCGGGCGTGTACGCCACACTTAAATGGCGTAACAATCTTATTATTTGTCATAATCAATGTAAAAACGATACTTAAAAAAGTATGGCTAATTTACCGAATGAACTATGCCATTTTCATATCTCACCCCAATGTTTGTAGAATTTAGTTCTATGTACTAAAATTGATGATAGAAGCTTACAATCGTAATTTTATATTTTATGAAATTTCTTATCACTTTGCTGTAGAAAATTTCGTATGTATTTTCAATCTCATCTACAGCCACTTTGTTTCCTTTCTCTGTCTCTTTTTATGTAAAGAAAGCATTTACGATGGTTGAAAACGTTTGGCGCTTGCAATAATAAACTAAAATGTTCTAAAAATCAGATCAGTAAGTTTAATACCGAAATTAGTATAAAATCAGACTTCGAGTCTGCATTGCAGTTATACTGTCAAAGTTAGAGACTCTCTCATTTTGTATTAACAAATGCATTAAATTATAGATAAGAATCTGGCATGCCCGATGGTCCACTCAAACATTAAATTACTCTATTGCAAATGAATTCTTCATTTAAATAATTAAAATGTTTACGAACGCATATAATCATAATCGTATTCCTTTAAAGGTACAAAGGTTTCCTTAATAGACTGTGGCGATGCCCATCTCAAAGCGTAATGAGGACCGCCAGCTTTATCGTTTGTTCCAGACATACGACTACCACCGAATGGTTGTTGACCAACAACTGATCCAGTTGATTTATCATTTATGTAAAAATTACCAGAAGTATATCTAAACTCTTCAAGAGCGCGTATTGCCCATTTTCTAAAACAGATTTCAAGTCATATTTTATTTTATTTCTATAAAGGTATCAATATGCAGTAAATATAATTTATTTTCATTATAAAAACCATTGTATTTACGTTTAATTTATTATAACACAGGCATATTTATATGTAACAAAGCAATCCAGAATTGCAAATAATTAAAAAATAAAAAGTGTATACTAAATTACGGAAACTTACTCATCCTGAGAAAATATTGCCCCGGTTAAAGCATAAGGCGTTGAGGATTCGACTAATTTCATGGTCTCGTCAAGTTGCGAGTCTTTGTAAACATAAATCGTTAGTACAGGTCCAAAAATTTCTTCTGTCATAATCTTATCTTTAGGATTTTTAGTTTGTACAATGGTTGGTTCGATAAAGTAACCACACCTATAAATCATCAAAATAAATCATAAGTAAAATATAAAAATATATAAAAAATCAAAATAGCATATAAGTATATGCTTACGAATCATCGTAGCCACCTCCACCAATAATTTCAAGATCGGGTGATTTTTTAGCATGTTCGATGTAGCCAGTAATCCTTTTAAAAGCTGTTGCATCGATTACAGCTCCAAGAAACATAGAGAAATCTCGTGGGTCTCCCATTTTTAACTTATCACGAGTACACAAAAGTCCAGCTTTGATCTATAAATCAGAGTTAATTAAAGGCACACAAAATTATAAAAGAGGAATATATCACAATTCTTATTCGATTAAAAGTATACGGTTAACTCACCTCTGACCATAAAGATTCAGGAACATACATCCTACTGCACGCTGAACATTTTTGACCGTTGAATTCAAAGGAACTCCTGATAGTACCCATTACCACTGAATTAGGATCAGCGCTTGGATGTACGAAATGGAAATTTTTACCACCACATTCTCCAATCATTTTTGGATAATTTTTGTACTTATTAATGTTCTTTCCAACTTGAGACCAAAGACGATTAAAAGTAGCTACAGAGCCTGTAAAGTTAATCCCGGATAAGTAAGGCGAAGCAGTGATCGTATCTCCAAAATCTGGCCCATGGGCAGGAACGAAATTAACAACTCCTTCTGGAACTCCAGCTTCTCTGCAAATTTTATAAATCCACCAATTGGATAAGACAGCAGTATCAGACGGCTTCCATAAAACTGAATTGCCCTGTAATAAGCATAATTAAGAATGTTTAAGCTGTTGAGACGTTTTAAAACTTTTAGAAAATTTCAATTAATAAATAATTAAAATTTTTAACAATTACTTATTACATAATATAGAGGTAAATTATGAAAAATTCCAATCACAGAATATACAAAATTAAAGCAAATTAAATATGACGATTTTAATACGGAGAATATCATATTTCAATTAATCATTGTCTTCATAATGCCTTCGTTATAGGTTAAACTTGAGTTGGTATAAATATAATACGAATTATAGAAGAAAATGATAAAGCTTTTCATATAATAATAAAAGAAATTTTTTACATGAAATGTTTTAATGTTCATCAAACGTTTATGTTAAAATTTTAATGTTCATCTACATAAAACAAATAAGCAATTAAAGATCTTATATATTTTGAAATTAGACACTCTTCATGATATTTATTTAACATTTTATATTTTTAATAAAATTCAACTGTCAGCATTTATACTACCGAAACCAATTGATAAGATGCGAACCATCAGAGCTGGTGTATAGCTAAGATTACCACCAATGGCAGTGAAGTTAAACGGAGAAACAGCTGCAACAAATCCATCCATTCCTCGATACCTCATTGAATTTAAAGTCTCCTTATTTGGAGAAATAGGCTTATATTTTAAGGCCTCTTTGAGAAAATAACCATTAATTTTAAAGAAATCAATAAGTTCGGCTGCACTATCTATTTCTGCTTGGATGGCGGTTTTGCTTTGACCAAGCATTGTAGCAGCATTCAATTGCTGTCGATACTTTGTTGACATTAAGTCTGCTGCCTTCAGCCATATTTCAAATCTTTTTTCAAATGGAACCTTTTCCCATTCTCGTTGCATCTTAACGGAGGCATCGATAGCCTTCTGTATCAGATCTGGCGTGGCATAATAATATTTTGCTACCGCATGTTGATGGTTATGTGGCTGTTCAAAAATAAATTTCAATATTCATTATTAAGAAATTATGAAAATCAGTGGAAATATAAAGGGCTGTACGAATCTTTTGCTGAGGCAAAACTTCATAAAATCATTATTTTTTAAATAATTAATAATGAAAGATTTATACAAAATTTCTGACACATGGTCAGAATTACAAAAAATATATGCTTAAGTTTAGAACTTTTAATAAATACGTGTACGTAAAAACATCTTTACCATAACTTGATATTTAACGACATTCGATTTGATTTCTTTTCCACCAATAACTAATGGGATTTCTTCGCATTCGCAAGTCATCTTATCCAAAGCCTTCTCCAACTCTGCACGTTCCTTGCTGCCTTTCTTATAAGATAAAATAGGTTCGTTTTCCAATGGAAATTCCTTTACTTTTGTAGTGGGTACTATAGTCCCAAAACATTTTGTACCTATCCTATGGAAGAGAAATTTATTTCAAATTTTATGTATAAGTTATAAATTATAAGTACTTTACAACAGTGCATCAAATAAAAAATTAGAAGCACTTGCTTACGATAATATCTACAAATATTTATTCTTTTATAAAGAGATGCATTTAGCAAATAGTGTTATCATATAAGCGGAAGGTATATATATACAGTTTAATAAAAAGAAAGGACCACTTGTGGAGATTATTTCTTATCTTATCTTAAATCACATCCAAATTACTATTTTTTACAATCAGTTTTCATTTAATGAAATAAAGCTATTTGAAAAGTAACTTATGCAATACGATTATTTATATAACAAAGCGTTAAAATAAGACTAAAATATGTTATTTTAAACCTAGATTTTTGCAATAGTAGCTGCCATAAATATACCGAGATACTTATAACATTATGTAATATTATCTTTTCGGTGATCCAAATTATTACTATTATCAATGTTCTCAAACAAATTGGAGTGGTTAATTATTATTAAATACTATCAAAATCAATTAAGACACTGATAAATCTCAATTACAACTCGATAGCTTATCATTGCGGGTAAATATATAGATGCGAATGTAAATCAAAATACAGCCAACAAATACAAATATAACAATATGTCACAATTTACTAAGCAAATATACTTTTCTCATATTAATATTCGACTAATTAATCATTGTACTTTCTCTCGTTACTAATGATTTTCTTATTTTCTTTTATGTATATTATCTAATACTAAGTTTGCTGAATAAATGATTTAATTCTTTATTTGTACATCCAGGGGCCAGCAAATAAAAACTTGCAATTATTAAGAATTTAGTTGAAAATACATTTATTTTATACTATTATTATTTATATAGATACGTCTAAACAAAGAGCGTCTGCTCTTAAGTAGTTTATAATATATTTTATCTATTTATTTATTTATATTATTTTATATATTTTATTTTATTTATTTATTTATTTATTTATTTATTTTTTTTTTTTTTTTTTTTTTTTCAAAT